GTGAACTTAATTGGGACTTTAATGCTGTCAGTTCCTAAAAACAAGAACAGTAAGTTGTGGTGGGAATAGCATGGCTTCATTAAGGAAATGTTATTTTACGGGGAAATCCTTTCTTGACACTATCTTCAAAACTCATCTACGTCCAAGTTTTAGAGTTTATCAAGATAGAGAATGAAACACAAATCCATCCCTGTTGCCTCTTGAGATCCTATATGTTTTCCACTTCCCACTTTAAACATCCTAAAGGGATAATGGGAAGAAAGGAAGGCAGCCAGGCAGGTAGGCATAGGGACAAGAAAATGGAGAAAACGAGTCTGGAGAACACATTGGTGACTGAAAACCCACCTGGCAGACCTGAAGGCTGACCACAGAGAAAGCAAAGCTGGTACCTGAGTTACACAGAACTAGTAACTTCCTAGTACCATTAGCTATGCTTACAAGAACAGGTAATGAGGTTTAAGTACAGAGGGCTGGTTCAAAGTCTTATTTATGAGAGAGCCATCAGATCCCTGCCAAAACTCATGCCTCACTACTCCTGGCTTAAGCCTACAGGCTTGGTGTTTGCAGCTCAAAGCAGGCCAGCTCAAGGTCAGGGGCCATCTCGAATGGCAGCAGCAGAGCTTGTGAAGACAAGGAAGAAGCTCCTAGTTTACATCACTGGATGTTCTGATGCTTACCACTTCCTCCCACCAAGTACAGTGACAGAAAAGCAATTAAAATGCAGCTCCCCCAGTGATGTTCCTTGCCCCTCAGGCAATATTTGGAGACAAGTCTGGTAGTGAGGGACATAATGCTTCAAACATCTATTGTGTCCATATGCCTTTTCTCGTGATTGTACGGGTCATTTTTGTTCTTGTCTTAAGTGTCCTTTTGGGTGTATATGGTGTATATATATGTGCTGGTGGGTGCTGATGTTGCCTTGGGGGCCTGTGTGAAGGCCAGATGTTGGCACTGGATGGCATCCTCTTACTTTCCACTTTACTTTTGAGACAGCTTCTCACTGATCCTGGAGAGCCATCTCTAGGATCCAGCTGCCTTACAGGCACGTGACATGTCTGCCTTTCTCTTACATGGGTGCTGGGGATTCAAATTCAAGTTCTCATGCTTGTTAAAGCAAGCATTTTTATATACTGAGCTAGTTCCCCTGCCACTACACAGTGTGGGAAAACTCTGCTTAATTAGGTCCAAGTCCATCATGACCAGATAGCCTCTGGGCTCAGCAAAATATGGGAAACTCCCTTCATTGGCAAGGCTTCTCCTCTGATCCTCTTTTTTTTGGGGGGGGGGGTTCTTTTTTTGGGGGGGG